TGCCACTGAGCTGCATCCCCAGCCTTCCTTGCCTGTAATGAAATTAATTTTACTTTTCAAAAAAAGTACAGGAGCATACAGCATCAATAGGAAATAATGGAATTGAAAATTATTAAAACTAAATAAAAAGGTGAGTTTTAATTTAAAAATAGTTACAACACAGAAAAAAGCTTTGCAGAGTAATTTTTCTTACCTTTGGATCACGGACATCATAAGTTCGACAAAATGTTCTTTACTAATTAAGGACAGAAATAACCAAAATAGAAATCTTTATAAGCAACAAAATGCAAACCATCAAAAAGAGTTCTTACAAAGCATAATACTTTATACACTTAAACATATGTAAATAAATGTACAGATATATGTACGAAAACTATTTCCTTCTGTTTATAAATATTGCTGATCATGATTAAACAGATGGAAGCATTTGTGAAATTTTCCTCAAACATCCTCTCCATAACAGGAGTGCTGTTGTGGATGGAGTCAAGCCCAAGAATGTTTACTGTGTCAAAGGCTTGTATATAAAATTTTCCAGTTAAAAACTAAATAAATTAAAACTTATCTTCTGTAGGAATGGTCAGTTTTTCACATTGTCTTCTTGTATTTTTTAAATATAAATACCTAAATAAAAGATACTTTTTCGTAGAAGAGCAAATGTGAAGTACAACTCGTTCTGAAACTTCTTCCTCTGTGAAATTCCACAGTCTTTTTCTATTCATAGACTTTTCTATAGCATATATTAGCTGAAAGACAAAAAATACACATTACTTGAATACACACAAAAAGGAGTGAGCATGGAAAAAATAAATTATAACAACTCTAAGCTACCGTTCTGCTTTAAAATCCCATAATTCTTTTTTTTCCCCTTCTGTTTTTGTTGAGACAGGGCCTTGGGTTGTAATTCAGGTTGGCCCTGAACTTGTACAGATCCTCCTGCCTCAGCCTCCCCAGTATTGGAATTACTGGCAGTGTTACCAGGCCTGGCTTAAAATCCCATGATTCTATCATTAACTTTTCTCACCCACAAAATAATATATTAACTTCTGGGTTTCCATTTGAAGGATTTACATAGAAATGCTTTTTTTAAAATTTTTATTCTTATTGTTTGTACAGATTAATGTGTTTCATTTTTGGTAGAGTCACACTAGAATATAACATACTTTGATCATTTTTACTCCCCACTACCAAAAATTGGGTTTTAAATAGAAAAATATAAATCAATGTCCCTAATGATTAACTGGACATGAAAAATTAATTTTGAGCAATTAGCATTTAAATGTAAAAAAGGGAATTTAATTTGGGCATGGTGGTGCATGCCTGTAATCTCAGTATTTGGGAGGCTGAGGCAGGACGATCACTGTGAGTCTGAGGCCAGCCTCGGCTACATAGGGAGTGCAGGGTCAGCTTGAACTGCATAATGAGAAACTGTCTCAAAAAATCAAAATAAAAGGTGGGTTAATTTGAATGAGAAATGACAAGTGATTTTAACTATAAAAATAGAGCATGTTGCATTTAGAAATTCCTATTTAAATGTCATATGAGACAAAATAGAATACAAAAGTACAGCAATAACAAAAGTGAAAAAATCTGAACAGTGTCATAAATTTATATCAGAAATAAGAATTAGCAAATGAATACTTACTATGGGGTAAAAGTGTCATAAATGTGGCTGTCAGCTTTCTAACAATAATATGTACATAGAAATCTAATTTGTTACACAATTCACATGGTCCTAACCTGAAAACAACTGATCAAAAGATGCACAACCTTCTTGATAGTTCCAAAAAATGTTTCTCCCAGAAACATACTATGTAATAAAACAAAGTGTTTTATAAATAAATAAGGCTTTTAACAATAAACCTTATAGAAGAAGTTAACAAATTTTATATGGTTATGTCTCTCAATGTAGGCCAATAGAAACAAAGTTAAATAATTGAAATTCAACAATCTCTGAGACACAGCATTTATAAAGTCTCACATTCCTTTCAAAAACAAAAATTACGAAACCAAAAGGAAGAACTTGACGGGACCTGTCTAGTATCATCTACGTTCACTTCATTCAATTCAGTACCAATAACAAAAAGATTCACAAGCCATGCTATGAGTATTAAGTACACACAGATTTAAAGTATAATTTAAACTGCCAAAGACGATGAACAAGGGTGAAAGAGGTAAATTCACTTAAAATAGAAAAGATGGTAGAAGAGTGAAAAATTTTATTAAAAGGGATGATCTGCCTTTTCTTCTCTTCCTGTCTTCAGCACAATATATCGAAGACATGAGGGTGGGACATCTGATAAGAGAGATTACAAAACTGAAAGAATTCACAGTATCTGGAATTTTAAACTGTACTTTTTTACTAAAACTCTTCCTTCCATGGGGAATCTTAGATTTGGTGCTTCTGAAGAGTATGAGAGATCCCTCTTCAGATGTGAAATACCCTTGTGAAGGCTCCTGTGGATCTTGGGCACTAAGAGATAAGCAGCAGAGTTTGCTTCAGGTTTTGTTTGAAAAGGAAACAGCTTGGGGCACTCATGCTTTTAGAAAAGTTTACCGAATTCTCTGACATATGAATAAACAAAAACCAAGGAGGTTCAGGATATATATTCAATCCAGAAATAAAGAATAACTATTTGATTGGTGTTTATGTTTTACTCTGATATCTTAAGAGAACTAAACAGAGTAATTTCCCATAACAATCACATGGTACTACATGGAAGATCTAACAGAAAACTGCTATCGCACAAGAAAAACTGTTAAACCACAATGACATCTTCTTTTTTCTACTTCTTTCATAATATTAAGAGTTTATCTTTAAAACAGACTATTTTAAAATACAGAAATACATTCACTTACACTCAAGATATCCAACAACTGGGAAGAAAAAGCTGTTTCAATGTAATCCTAGCATAAACAAGTTGGAACACTAATTATGTCTAGGGTCCCTGTGTACACAGAAAATGAATTAAAGTAACATGTAACTCTGATCTTGTCAAGGATTTTTAGCTGGATATTGTAGCCCATGCCTGTAATCCTAGAACTCTGGAAGGCTGAGGCAAGAGGATCACAAATTCAAGCCCAGTCGAGGAAACGAGTGGCTCAGAAAGATCTATTCCAAAATACCATATAAAAGGGCTAAATATGCACTTCAGTGTGAAGGACCTGGTCTCAGTCCTCAGTACTGAAAAAAAAATTTCTTGATATATCAATCAGACTTACTCTGCGCAGGGCATTTTGAAAGTCATTCGCCAATTCTAAAGTTGTGATAATAAATACTCCAAGAACTGAAAGTCCCCCTGGTAGCATTCTGGATACCTAAACACAAAAATATAGTATTAGTTTCCATAAGCAATGCAGTCCTTTCTATGAGAAACTAAATACTAAATCAGCATATTATCAAAATAACTTCTGAAATTTTTCAGTGGCTTATCAGCAGCAAAATATATTTTATTTCAAGATAAAATGACTAAGATAAAATATTTTGTCTTAGATGAAATATTTTAGCTTAGGAAGTTTATCTAAGATAAAAGATATATTTTATCTTTTATCATAGACTTTTATTTCAGTCTTTCCAGAATCTAGCCAATCCAGTGTCTGAAGCCTCATTTGACACTACTTTCCCTGAAATATTCAACTATCAGTACAAAACTATTCACTGTTCTCCTTGTATACTCATATACTTTCTAACTCTATTCCTTTTCCCAGGCTGTTCCTTATCGTGAATTGACTCTCTTATATGTCCACAGATTGACTTCTATTGAATATTTCAGAGTCTAAGGAACTCCCATCAGATTTTGGTGGGGTCTCCCATGTACCTTATCACGCAAGCCATTATTATGCATGCGTACCACCAGTTTGTTCTCCATTATCTACATTTCCCTTCACTTTATTGTGTCTACTTCTTAATATCACACAGAATTTTCTCTACTATCAGAGACCACAATCCTTTGGGTAGCTATTTGTTACTTAACATGTAAACAAATGTTCACAAAGTCTAAGAAAATGGGATACCACACTTTAATCTCTATTATATTTATATTGTGCCTGCTAATAATTTCATAAATTCTACACAAATTTGATTTTTCATAGTTAGCAAAGGAAACTTGTATGTCTTTGCAAAATCATCTACATATAAAATTAAGAATTTCTCTTTAGAGGTAAAATGTTAATCTAATTTACTATATGAATTCACTCACACTCTATACATATGTACATACATATATATGTATATCTGTATATATAGAGACATATATGTATATCTTTACATGTGTGTATATATATATGTGTGTGTGTGTGTGTGTGTATATAGACACATACCATATAAAATTTTATAGGAAACCATAAGTAAAGTAAAATAGAAAATGACCCTAAAAAACTCAGTCATGTTTAGCTACACTCTCCTTACATCTCCTCACTTGTAATCTACTTGGTCACTAAGTTTTCTTGAGTTTAGCTTTTTCTCTGAAATCTCTTGGTAAAAAACATCTAGCCCACTGTAAGTCTGTTTACTGATTATTTATTTATCTATTTTAGAGTGTCCATTACTGTATAAACCATGAAAGTACCATGCCAGGCACTCAGGATGTAGCAATAAATAAACCAGATGTGACTCTTGTCTACAGACAGTTCACAATCTAGTTTAAGTTCGTATCTTTTTTTTTTTTTTGACTATTGCTGTAAATGTTTTCTGGTCTGTGTCCAACGTCTCTATTATCTACATAAACTATTTCAAGATATCAAAGTTATTGTCTGGATTACTGGTGAATCAATCACATTAATCCCTTCACAAAATAAAGAGCTCTGAAGGTCTAACATGGAACTACTACTTAGCAAATACACTTCCCTTAGGGCTGCACTCAAAGAACACTCATAAACTGGCCCCTTCCAATCTTGTATCTAACTACATTCTTCTACATACTCTTTGTCTCAACTATAACAATTGCTTGTTATTCTCTTAACGTGCTTTCTTCATGTCTTTGGCTCACTTATCCATTGTCTTTGGGATAGTCAATGTGTTCTATGGCTTCTTCTTTTGAAAAAGTCCTACTCATCCTTCAAGTTCAGAGCTCTCTATAAAGCTGGTTTGAATCCTGCCACTGGCAACTATTCAATAATAATAATTTCTCTGAAATGCTAGTCTAACAACCTAAGAACAAAGTGCTTTTCTTTTTTAGTCAAATAACACACTTAACTATATAATGAGTAAATAAGAGTACCTGGTGGGCATGTTCTGTAGCCCATTCTTCATCCAAATTATCCAACTTAGTTTTAGGATGTTTGGGGTTCTCGTATTGTTCCTCTTTGGGTGGTGTTCTAGTGGCAAGAATCACATAATCCTTCTGTGAAGAAAACTTCAGAAACAAATTATAAATGCTTGTTAGAGTGATATCTAATTGAGCAAATCAGTTATTTTGGCTCTATGACATGAAAAACTAATATTTGTATAGTGGTGCTTTGGTTAATGAACTTAATTTGCTTTATGGTTATGGGGAAGATGGCATTTGTGTTTGTATGGGGAAGATGGCCATGATCGTTTTTGTCACCCAATGGGGAGTTTCTGAACAGAAGCAAAATTTTGCAAAAAGCTTTTGCTTGTGACTCAAATTATTTGCAAGCAGAAGCGTTCATAAATCAAGGCATTACCAGATTACTACGAGCAAATAATTTTTATTATCTAAACTTGAGATCACTGAACAGCTCAGTTTTACTGCAGTGAAAGTTTTCTAAAACTGAAACGTTGATAATGTAAATTAGTATGGACTCTTCTTCATATATACCTAAAACTCCCTACTGATCATTAGCATCATCTTGTGATAAAAAACACAGAAAGACTACTTATTTCTATAAAAGTTATTTCCAAAAGATGTACACAGGAAAAGAACACAGGTCCTAATTAAAGATGCTTCTTTGTTTCATAAAATATTTAACTTCAAAAAGTAACTGACACTGGAGAGTGGGCAACAGGCAAGCTTAACAAGCAAAAGGGAAAAGTGATTAAGCTCTAGATAAAAAGGAAGAAAACCCGTAGAAAACTGAAGAAAAGCATGAAGGTAGGCTGGAAAGCCTTAAATTTTTAGAAACTTATTTGTAAGATGGCAGTTTTACTGAGCTCTAGAAATACAGCAGGCTGTATCCAATAAGGTAAGTTTGGAAAAGAATCTCTTTCTGACATTTATTTCTACTGAGCACAGCTTTCTCTAAAGCTAGTCCCTTACATTTTTTAAATAAAGGGGAAAAAAAGACTTAAAAAAAATTCCTAGCAAAAAGATCCCTACATTAGATGCTATATAACCTGAATCAAAAAGTAGTTCAGGCTGGGATATAGCTCAGCAGTATAGCACTATGCTTAGCATGTGTGAGGTCCTGGCTTTAATCCTGAGCACAACATCAACAATTAAAGTAGTTCAGATTTGGCTATATAAGGAAAGGACTTATAGAGTGGTACTACCTAGGTGCAAAGTGTAGTTATGCCATCTGTCTTGGAAGAAATCTGATTTTTGAAAGCTCTGAAAATGAATCTGTTCTCAGGGCTACACTGACATTAACTAAGCTTGTGCAGAATGATACAGAAAACCTAAACGTCAGGAAGAGTCTAGACATGTAAGTCCTCTGGGCAGTACATTCTTTTTTATTGGCAGTGCTGGGGATCAAACCCAGGGGGTTGGATATGCTACGCAAGTACTCTACCACTGAGCTATGTGTTCAGGTCAATGCATTCTTTGAAAGTAGGTAAAATGGGGTATCACATTATAAGACAAAGTGTCTTGGCAGTAAGAATAGAATCAAATCAAAGAAAGTTTATGCAGTTTGAAAATTCTAAGGCATCAGACTAAAACAGGAAGGAAAAAAGTTGTCATAATAATAGCTTTATTTACTATTAAGCCTCAAAAGCAAGATGTTGCTTACGCTTTGTAAAAGTACCACCCAAATATCTTCTCTATTCTGTGTCAATTTTTAAAACCTAACTATGGGGGGAATAGAATTGTCTAATTTCCAAGTGTACCCTAATCCTTTTCCCTCCCTCTCTATTGAAGCAATATTAAAAAAAATCAGTACACTGGATATTACAATATGCAATGAAAATATGGTCATATGGTAACTGTTGCTATAAGTCTATGATAAGACAAAACAAATTAGAATGTGAATAAAATTGTTAAAACCTTTTTTCCACAAAGAACGGGGCAACTTAGAATTAGTAAAGATTAAAAGGAAGTACAAAACACTTTGGGAAGAACAAAATGTGTATAATCTAATTAATAAACTAGTTTTGAAGTTTGTACATTACTTTATAAATTAAAAATTACTTTCACATTGTCAAAAGGGAATATAATCTGACACAAACCTGAGCCAGCTCGGTCCTACTTCAATACTTTTCCTCAGTGATGTACCTAAGATTTATTTCTAAATCATATCCTTATATCTCCCAATGAGCTTATTGTTAAATAGCTTATTTAACTTAAATAAACAGATAATTTGTTTTATGAATAAATGCACATACCTGTCCTATTAAAAGACCAGAAACAAAAGGTTTTCCTTGGAGGTCGATGTTTGAAAGATACTGGCCAACAGTGTCATCTACAATGTAGGTTCGTCCCATTGTTGAGAGCTAGTTCAGTCTGCTAAATTATGAGGAAAAAAAATATTTAAACATCTTTAGCAATATAATTTTTCAGTGTTGTTAGTATGAGAGTAACATAGTGAGAAAAGCAGTAGTATCCTGATACCACCCAGATCTTGCAGTGATTCCTTATTAAATGTGCTATTCTTTCTTACAAAGTTCAAATGTAGCTTCAGAATTCTCCTTAATATAGTGTTGAAGGAATTATTTAATAAGTACCAATCAACCAGAGTTCACATGAGAGAACAAATCTGTTTCTCATACTTAAGATACTAAATTATAGTCAAAACATCTGATTCTTACTTTAGATCGTCTCCTAGTAGTATTATCTTTGATAATTTATTACTGGGGCCTTTATTTCTAAAATAGTAGAGACAATTCTCTAAACAGTTTATAAAGAGGGAGACAGAATCAAATTCATTTACTTAACAAGTAGGTACTGTAAAACTACTATTTGCAAGAAATTGTGCCAGGTAGGACGGCACGAAGACCAGTAACTTTTTTTTCTGAGTTTCTAAATTACTGATTTTTACATTGATTATAATGCTGGTTTCACAAGTACATGTTTATGTTGAATCATGAAATTCTATATATTAAATCCCTGTAATTTTTAATTTTTTTATTTTAAAGAGAAAAAATAACCAAATAACAACAATGAAGACAAAAGCAAAACAACACAAAAACAATAAAAGAACGATACAGGATATGAAAACAAGATGATTGGAATTAACAATGGTTGTTACATTACATATTGTTATCATCAACAAGGTTGCTCAGATTACCAGATGTGAGAATGCAAGATTGATCAAACAATTAAAGACAATAACAAGCAATTAAAAAAACATTAGAAACAATACAGAGCTTCATTAAACAAGATGGTAGGAATTCAACCATCAGTAATACTTATCTCAGCTATCCTTGTATATACATATATATTTTTTTCTTTTTTTTTTTTAAAGAGAAAAGAACAAAAATAAAATAACAAAACCAAAGACATAAACAAAACATAAAAAATTAAAAATGATACAAAATTTCAAAACAAGGTGATAGGAAATTAATAATAGTTGTTATATTACACATTGTTATCTTCAAAGTGGCTACTCAGATAACCCAATACAGGCATGTAAGATTAATCAAACAATTACGCATTAACTGTTCCTTTCAAGAGACCAATAGGAATTAGGACTACAGTTATCCATACTTCCATTTATTACTGTTCTCCTTGGCCCAAAGGATTTCCACTAGTGTTTGCCATAGGAAGAATTTGCTTTTAATTCTTCCAGCTTTTTTTTATTTTTGTTTTTTGTATTTTTTATTTTGTTTTTGTTTTTGTATTTTGAGTTTGGAATTGAACTCAGGACCTTGCGCTTGCCAGGCAGGCCCTTGTACCGCTGAGCTATATCCCTGGCCAGAAGTACAGTTATCTTAGCTATCTTGTGTATATATATGTATTTTTCCCCTTCCTTTTTTTCCTCTTTCCCCCATCCCAGTTGTTCTTTCCTATTTGAGTAGTTTCTTTCCCTTCCACAGTATCTATTGTACGTTTCAGATTTTATTTACTCTTTCAGGTTCTTATACTAGTGAGACAATATGATGTTTACACATGAGTCTGATTTATTTCACAGATGAGTATGGTCTCTAGTTGAACCCATTTACCTATAAAAGTCGCTAGTTTATCATTATTTATAGCTAATACTCCATTGTATAAAAATACCACATCTTTTTTATCCATTCTTCAGTTGATGGACATTTGGGTTGTTTCCAAGATTTAGCTATTTAACACATTGTGCTGCTATAAACATGTGTGCACATATATTGCTGTGGTATGATGTTTTCAATTCTTCTGGAAAAACACCCAGTAGAGGAACAGCTGGGTTGAATGAGACCTCTAATCCTAGTTTTGAGGAATCTTGACACTCATTTCCACAGTGGTTGCACCAGTCTACACTGCCACCAACAGTGGAGAAAGGTTCCTTCTTCCCCACAACCCCTCTAGCATTTATTATTAGTTGATTTCTTGATGATAGCTCTATTCTCTCTGGGATGAGATGAAATCTGCATTTTTAGTTTGCATTTCTTGAATGACCATTGATGTTGAACGTTTTCTCATATTTATTTGCCATTTGTATTTCTTTATCTGAGAAGTGTGTATTTATCTCAGATGCCCATTTTTGGATTGAGTCTGAACTTCAGGGGCCTGATTTTTTTTTTATTCTTTGTTCTAGATATTCTAGATAGGAGCCCTGTGTCTGAGGGACAGCGGGCTAAAACTTTTTCCCAATTTGTGGGTTTTCTTTTTACCCTGTTGGTGATTTCTTTTGATGTGCAAAAACTTTTCAGTAAGATGAAATCCCAGTTGTTGATTCCTTGAAGTATTTCCCAGTGCAGTTTTTGTTTATGAACTCTCTGCCTAACCCTTCTGTTACGGTTGATATACTCTGTCAATTTGGGCAGTCTAGAGGTTTAGCTAAAGGACTCAGCAGGGAGCCAGGGTGCTTACTTTATATTTATCTTGAGCCTGCTTGAAAGAAAGGCATGAGGAGAGTGTGGGTGTAGAAGACCACCCCTATGCCCCCAGTGTGGGCAGGCTGCAAAAAAAAAGAAAATTTAAAAAAACCTGGCTGCTGGTTCTTTGGAGGAGCTCCAGTCTTTGCCTTCAGCTTGGTCATCTCCTGGCCTCTGGTGCAGCCTGTTCGGATTCAGCCTGGGACTCTTCAGCCTTCTGGTGTAGGCTCTCTGGCCTTTGTCAGATTCTTCAGCATTCTGCGGCAGACCATCAGCCTCCTGATAAGGACTTACAGGGACACTGCAGTGAGCCCCAGGCTTGGGGATGGGCTCTTCAATCTCCAGTGTGCAGACACCTCTGCACGCTTCCTCATCCAACTCTGTGTGACCATTGTAAGCCAAACTTACAATTTCTTGTACATTTGTATATCTTGTGTTATACCTATTTCTGTAGTAAACCCTGACTGATACATTTTGAAAAGACCAGTAATTTTAACCTCTGCTTGAGTAACTCCTAATAAGTTATGTAAGGAGATAAACAGTAACGTAGCAATAATTTGTATATGGCTTCTGTTTTGCATAGGTCATTATTCTAAGTACTTTACATGTAATAGTATTTTACAAAATGTAAATATTATTACTTGTAATAATATTTACAAACCCTCATGAGGTAGTAGGTATTATTTAATCTTCCTTCTTATAGATTTAAGAAACTGAAACAAAGAACGAATACTGAAATAATTTGCCCAGATGACAAAGTGGCAAAGGTGGGCTTTAAATTCAGGCAGTGTGGCTCAAGAATACTTATCTTAAATTGTATGTTTATACTCAGGAATTATATACAATGCTTCAATTAAGTCACAACAAGAGTAATTCCTCTTCTGGTGTTTCTCCAGTTTGTAGATGAAAACCAGTATCATACCTCTACTGACTTAATGCTCCTATGACTAGAATTTCTACACTCTAAAACCAAAGATACTAAATAAAAGATCTAGACTACAATGAATGGTAATGTCAAGAAGCTCATATGTGAAAAACAGTAACATGAGAGATGATTTATTTTTAAAAAACTATAAAATGGATATAAACACAGAGACCATGGAAACAATTGCAGTAGTTTGCTAAACCAATTTTTTTGTGTGGTTTTGTTTTGTTTTTCCGGTACCAGGAATTGAACTCACGACCTTGTGCTTGCCAGGCAGGCGCTGTGCCACTGAGCTAAATCCACAGCCACCAGTCGCAGTAGTTTAAATAATGCAATTTAGAGATGAGTCATTCAGGTTCTATTGAATATTTGATTCTTAATTCTACAATGTCAAATTTACAACAGATATGTTGGGTAGTATATCTGATACCAACAGAATAAACTACCAGCAACAAAATGGACCTGTATTACTCTAACACTAACGTCCAGAGAATGCCTTCAGGTTTGAAAGGGCCTGTCTGATGCTACTGCATACTACTTTCAAAAAACCTATCCAATTTTGTATCACAATACATAAGCTTTCTTTCTAGCTCTTTTTGGACAACAGTACAAGTGCATTAGCTTCTCATACTTCACTTTTGAGACTAAATCTACATCTTCCTGTGTAAATCCTTAATGCCTTCGAACAGTTAAGGGTTTTCAACTACTAGTAATGCCTTCGGCCAGGTATGCAGTTCTGCATATTAACTTTCTTCTACTTTATCATGTTATTCTATTCCTTTTCTTTTGGCGCTTAATAATTTTTGACTCTTACAAAAAACAGCAAATGACTCTAATATTTAACCTTCTAAATTCATTTCTTCTGGAGTGTCACTATACTATACACCTTACTGCATAAAGAACTGAATGCAATAGGAAAATGAAAATCTACTAAATCATGAAGTCTGGTTGGATATCAGATAATTTTTTTTTAGTTCTTTAAAAATCTTTAAATGCTGCCAACCATACTTTATGAAGGACGCTACAAAAACATTTCTCTTGCCTTATACAGTTATAAACTTCCTAAAGTATGACTTCAGATAACTCAACCTCCCTAGAACGGGTTTCTATCCAAAAAAATAATCTGGATCCTGACAGATCTGAAACCCTATCTAACTTCAGAATTCTGTTAGTCTAAGTATAGAATATCTGCATTTCCCAAATAGTAGATCAAGAATATGATGTTACTGTTGGCATACGATGGAATATAGTACCACATACCAGCAACCGTAATAAGTATATGTAAAAGACTTAAGGGAGAAACCTCATTTTCCTTACTGATTTTATTTTACCTTTGTTATCACAAAATAACACGGATGAGACGTTTAAAATTTTAAGATGTCTTCATAACAGATTCAAATGAATAAACTACAGAAAAATTTCATGTGAGAACTAAACCACCAATTCACAGAAGGTACATGACTATGATGAATGTTGAGAGGATGACATTAGGAATCCCCTATCTTCAATAAAGAATTTAATAAATTCAGAAGAGCAACCAAACGTGAAATGAACTACAGACTTCAGATATTGCAGAAATATAATCTAAAAACAAATAGTTTCGTTATAATGACAAGGTGACAATTGATTTTTAAAAAAATAAGGCTTTTGTTACAACAGTTTTCTTTCTAAAACTTCAAAATCAGACAACAATTTCTGCAAGTCACCTTAAAACATACGATACATTCAAACTCCTGGTTTATTTCATCCTCTTCCTAAAAAATTCAGCGGGCTCCCTGAATTCCTCAGTAACTCAGCACCCACCCCCACCCGCAAAGCCGCTAGGTTCGAGGTTTTCTGAAATAAGTTCGTCAGAACTGGACTTGACTGCACTGGAGCGACCGTCCATCTGTTTTCCACACCACGTCCCTTCCTTTCTCTCTTGAGGCGCTCTCGGTGCCCGCGCGCACACACAAACCTTGACACACACACACACACCGCCCTCTTAGGCTGATTTACCTGTTCCACAGAATGTGCACGCGGGGCAGCTAAATCTACTGAACCGTCAGGGAACCCGGTACGGTCAGCCTCAGGGTACACACTTCCCTTTGATCCCAACTCCACAGCCAAAGAACTCATCAGAAAGCGACTTCTTACACCTCATTTCCCACCACAAAACCCGACTCTCGACTCACGTGGCGCAGACTGATGACGCATCATTGTGTCATGGCCTCCCCCCCCTCCCGCCCTTCAAGGCCGTGGCTCTACCCGAGCAAGTGTTTGCCACCCTTCCGGGTGCCATTTAGAGCGTGGCAGAAATCCCGGCTTTGCTGTCCGGACTTGCTGGGACCGATGCCCTCCTGTGGCTCAGTGTCTAGAATCCGTCGAAGAGGATTTCCCTTCAGGGACTGATGAAAGTTGACGAGTTTTTGGCGCCACTGCGCGGACAGTGGTCTTTTAGCCACGCCAGGAGAACCCGGGGACAAAGAGAAAGAAGGACGCAAATGCGTGCCGCGGGTTTGGTGGAAGGACGCAAACGCGCGCCGCGGGTTTGGTGGACGGAAGGAAATGAGAAAAACACTACATTTCCCAGAAGCCTATCCGGCCTGAAGCGGGTGGGGCCGGAAGTTGGCCGCCCTGCAAGGTTTAGGAACTCGGATTCCCAGGGTGCATTTGCCTCCCAGAGTGCATTGCTCCCCGCGGCTGCGTACCCACTTTGGGTACGGGAGCTGTGACGCTTCTGGTGTCTCGGGTAACGCAGGACTCGATTTCCCAGGGTCCCGCCGCGGCAGTCTCCCGCGAACAGGCGCGCGGGAGCCGTCGGGCGAGGCGGAGGAGGCAGCGGCCCAGGTTTCTGGGTTCTGGGCTTCGCCTTCTGTGTCCGCTTCTGCTCCGTCGGCCGCTGTCGTCGCACCCCGTGTCCTGGCCGACATGGCGGCTGTGTTGCAGCAGGTCCTGGAGCGTGCGGAGCTGAACAAGCTGCCCAAGTTGGTCCAGAACAAACTTGAGAAGTTCCTTGCTGATCAGCAGTCCGAGATCGATGGCCTGAAGGGGCGACACGAGAAATTTAAGGTGGAGAGCGGTAAGCGAGAAGCCCTTCCCTCCCTTCCTTCGACTCCTGCGGCTTGTACTCTGCGACGTTTATTGGGTAGCAGCCCTTTCTGCACTCTGAGCGCTCTAGGCCTTCTTTCCTGCTTCTCACACAGTTGATGCGGAGACACCCCTCTTCCAAACTTAATTCCACTTTTATCGGTTTTTTTTTTCCTCTGTAAAAGGTCGATCTCATGTAGGGACTCTAAACTTTGTGCAACAAATAGAAATTGTGAAAAATTTGGGTCATTTACACTAAACCTCGCGACCCCTAGCCTCTTACGTCTGGAGTACCTAATCTGTTTTGTTGGACTCTAAATGATCAGTATTTTCCGCTCTATATTTTAGTGATCTGAATGCATGTCTTTCCCTAATTGACCACTCCGTGCATTTGTGTTTTAATATGTGTGCCGCCCTATGATCCCGTTACGAAGTAGATTGCACAAAAATGACTTTAGATGCAAGTACGCTTCAGTGAACGTGCAATAAATAAGTTTAATGTGTTGTAGTTTCTCTAAAAATGGGAATTGGATAGAAAATATTAATACTCGCTTATGGTATTATGCCTTCAGATGAGAAAGTTATAAACAGTAGTGGCCTGAACAGCTTTTAAAAAAGGATTAGGAATATAATGGTTGCCACTGGTAAAATACAGGTTTTCAGGCCGAAACAGACAGACTCAGTCTCTTCCTTTGGGAAGCTTAAACAGATATTTTTAGAAAAAGTGTAGTTTTATACTGTCAAATATTTGACTTTTTTTTTTTTTTTTTTTTTTCTCCGGTACCGGGAACCGAACTCACGACGTTGCGCTTGCCAGGCAGGCGCTTTGCTGCTGAGCTAAATCCCCAGCCCCCAAATATCTGACATTTTAAAACAAACCTTTTAAAGTAGTTTTTAACTTTTTTTTTCTTTTGCAGTGTAATCCTTTTTAAAAATCTGCCTTAGCTGGGCATGGTGGCACACGCCTATAATCCCAACACTCAGGAGGCTGAGGCGGGAGGATGGAAGTGAGTTTAAGGCCATCCTGGACTACATAGTGAATTCAGGCCAGCCTGAACTACATAGGGAGACACTGTCTCAAAAAAAAAAAAAAAAAAAAAACTCTGCTTTACACTACGCAGTCTACTTACTGATCATTGGGAAAATACTAAGATATGTGATATGATACGTTGCCCACTTGAAGAAAAGTGTTTACAAAAATCCTTTTTAAGCCTTATTTTCTTCTGTCACATAAATTAGTTGGAAAGGTTACATCAGTCCTTTTCAGTGCTCAGTTTATCTTTATATACTCTTATTTGACATGCAGTTCCACTACTTTGTATAAATTTTAAAATCAGCGTTACTGGAAGTTAGTAGTTGTTGAACAATGTATGTGCAACATGTGATTGCTCAGTTGATTTTGCCTTGTCTTCTGTAGAGCAACAGTACTTTGAGATAGAGAAAAGATTATCCCACAGTCAGGAGAGACTTGTGAATGAAACCCGTGAGTGCCAAGCTTTGCGAGTTGAGCTTGAGAAACTCAGTAAGTATTTGCCTATATCTTCGTTAACCTTTTTAGAGTATTGCAATCATCAGCTACTTGTGTTCTTTGGGAACATTTACTTACTGTATATGAAAACAGATTAAGGATTATTGTTTTTATTTATGTTGATATTCTTTACTAAATAGTGAAGATTTTGTAAGAACACAGGGCTTAAGGGTTAATTTAAGAAGATGAGTTCTGGTCTGGGGATTTAGCTCAGCCGAGTAGCGCCTGCTTGGCAAATGCAAGGTCGTGACTTCGATTCCCTGTACTGGAAGAAAAACAAAACAAACAAACAAAAAAGGTAAGAAGCTGAGTTCTTATTCTGACTTGGCTATTAAGGGTGGTTTTGCAGTATGTAAATCATGTCCGGTTGCTCATTTTAAAATGATTATACTCACATGTGTATCTGCTTACAAAGCTTTACATATCAAATAAGATGTAACTTTTTGAAAGTTTGTTTTAAAAGTTAAAGCATTATGCAAAAGAACTAAAGTGATTGTCTTTTGTTGAAAAATTAAAGCCTGTTGATTCCATTTAACTTTTCTTATTTTTAAATATCTATGAATGACAATATGTTTTCTCTTGAAGGCCTCATTCCAGTGAAAATGGGGAGCTCATTTTCTTTGCACCTTTCTTACATCATGGTACACAAGATATTAAAGATTTTGACTTTTCTCAGGAGTATGATGTATCTTGTGCTTTGCTTATGATGGAAGAAACACATATCAAAAAAGGTCTTAATGGAGTAAGAATATCAGTAATTACAAGTATAGCATGATTTTAATTTGATTTGATAGAGAAGAAGCATAGGAACCTCATAATCAAGGGAATTATTTTAAATTTCAACTTTCATTGAGTCTGTACCTATTGTTTGGGTTGTAACTTTTTTCAGCTTTTCTTGGCACATTCATTTTTAAAACATATACATGCGTGATAGGTCATGAATAGCTAAATATGGTTTATAATTTGTGCATATTTTTGCCATGAAAAAGCATAATGAAAAGATTTGTTCAGGATACTCACATGCTAAAAGAGTTTTATGAAAATGACTGTAAGATTTTTTTTTTTTTTTAATGAAATCTGGAATAGGGAAAGTTCTGGATAAACCTAGACAAACATCAAATGCTTTCCAGGTGTACAGTTATCTTTGTGTTTTTTGTATATAATTTCTGATCTACAAGTCTAGAAAGCAGCAAATAACTTTTAAACAACAGAAAATCTACAGTAATCTAGCAGGGCTTTTTTTTAACTTTCATAATACTGTTGTCTAATAGAAGATTGGAATTACAGTACTGCTTGTTCAATAACCCAACTATTCAGATTTAAGATCTAAGTGCACTGTTCAGACTTTTTTTTTTACACGGTTCTGTACATCTTGTTTATAGAGCCTCAATTTTTTTGTACAGTACACCTTGTTTATACAATTTTGTACTTTTTGCTGATTGTACAGTACTGTAGTTTTGTATTCTGTAATACATTACAGTGCTGCATGTAAGAGTTATGCAAATAGAAGCTAAGTCATCAAGTTTGAATTTTCTTTGACCATTTATTCTGAATATCAGAATGTACAATTCCTCCATTAGTGACCAATTCATTTAACAACATAGTTGTAGGAACACAAGTAAGTCATTAAAACAAGGAGTTTCTGTAGTAAAAATGTATAAATTGCCAGTACGGAGTACGTATTTTTGTAGAGAGAAAATTTAAAAAGAATATTCTTTCTTAATTATGTATTTGCTATATATGTACATTTGTGTGCTTGGAAGACAAGTTATCAGGGAACATCCTTCATTATGAGTAGAGACTGAGGAAATTCCATCTCAAGCATAATATTTTTCCTTCTTTTAAAAATTTTTTTCCATATTGAAGCTGTCTTCAGAATAATAAGTGTGGGATTCAAGTATCTATTATGTGTGCATTTTGTGTACTTGAAAATATTTTCTCTCTTATTCTATCTTACTCAGTTTTCTCATTTCTGAATAAGAAGGTCACTGTTTTTTAAGATATATGTTCATATAGAAGATGTCATTGAAAAATAAAGATATTGCTACCTATAGATACTTGCTGCAAGTATTGGTTAGAGTTATTATGTTTGATTTTGGACAAAGAATACCATATTTAAAATTTTGGTCTAGAATACAGTAAATTTGGAATGTATTCATAAATTTGGAATGTAATTACACGTGAGCCTTTTCTGGGCTTCAATTTCTTCCATTTTAAAAATAAATTAAATGAGGGTTGCAGTTGGATAAAAATATTCATTGGAAGTTTTAAGCATATATATGTATGGGTATATGTAGTTCTATATAGTTCTAAATAAAATTTCTTTTATTTAGACAATCAACTGAAGACACTAACTGAGAAAAACAAAGAACTAGAAATTGCTCAGGATCGCAACATCACCATTCAGGTAAAAGTTACTACTGTGAATAAAGCTAATCACATATGTGATTCTAAAGGAAATTTTCTATTCTTAATTGTATTTATTAGATATTAATCAGTAAAAAGATGTCCTATTAGGAGATGATACAATCAAAAACATGCACATACAAATTTCATAATTGGATCTCTACATGTTTTATTGAGAAATTAGACATTCCTTTTATTCA